CTGAGGAGCGATTCAGTCCACACCTGAGTGTGCAGGGTCAGGCTGTGCCTTTGTCAGGAGGATTTGGCACTAGGAAAGAGAAAGAAATATGTTTAGTGTGTGGCTTACAGAAAAGGTGGTGTTTAGAACAAAAATTGTGCAAATATCTGAGGGTGGACAAGGTGTGCTGCTGCGCCTATCCATCCCCAGAGTGCCTTGGAGGGCTGGGTGCTAATGCACCCCAGGGTGTGTGGAGACAGGCACTACCACGCTCTCCTCTTTGCCTAATGCTCTGTTGGTCATCTTTAGTGTATCTAAGGATGGATTTCTTCAGCTATGACATGGTCCCACAGCCACAGAAAAAAAGCATCGTGCCGGTGGAGACCCAGCACAGCTCCCCTCGTCTGAATGAATCTGCCCAGCAAGTCCAGAGCTGGGGTGTTTGTTTGTTCAGGCAGTTCTCATTTGGCCTTTTCTGAAGGGAAGGGAGTTCAAGTTGCACTGTGCTTTTTATTTACATTTTTTTCAGCATATATCAAATCTGACCAGGATATAACGATTTTTGAGGCATGTGAGCCAATGTCAGCTGGAGTCTGGCTGCCCTAGAGTGGTTTTCAAAAACAAGCCCCACAGCACAAGAGAATATGGGATTTGAGGAATGGAGGGACTTGTAGAATTATGCATTTGCAGGGCTACAGGGTCGATTATGCAGGCAGAGTGATACCTACATGGTGATAACGCACTCCCCAGAGCCCTCACACCCTCAAATATTTCATCGCTGAACCCTCAGCTTTGTCTTCCTGCGCAGCAGAATACTTTCTTCCATCCAGAGAGGTGTGTAGCTTTGGAGGATTTATAATCATGGGTCAAATCATGCTCTGAAGGCTTGCTTTCTGACAAGACTGACTGATCATGAGTTACTGTTCTTGTCTCTATGGTGGCAGAGCTGCAGTCTCAGCAACCTCATGCAGAAAATACAGAGGGCAGTACTTAATAGCTACTACATATTGGGCCAGATCATTGCAGCCTTTATTCAGACTTTGAGCAAAGTGTATTATTTTGCAGCGGTGTGTTTGGTTGGAAATGGAGGCTTAGACCTTTTAATTCTAGATTTGCAACTTGAAAAGATGTGTTTTGAATTCTCATTTTTAAAGGCTTGCATCGACGAAAGGGTGCCCACAATTATCTCAGTGCACATAACCTGAAGTAGTCAATCACGGAGCCACTGCGCATACACGATACTAGCAGTGAACCACGCCAGGTGGATGTGAAGCCAGATAGCTATGAAACCTATTTGACAGTTTTCGAAAGCCAAGTGTGCCATGTGGATGTGCACTGGCAATCACAGCTCTTTACAGATGAGCATCCCATGGTTATGACCTCACTTTGCCCTGTTGAAACCAGAGGCCTCAGGGGGAGTGTTGTGATGAGGAACTCATGGAGCTGCTATTCTCATGCCACTTCTCTGTTGTCTCCCTTGGGTGTGGAGCGGCCTCTGGTTAATTCCAGTTCCTGGGTGCAGGTGGTTCCCCTCCTCTTGCACCCACTCTCTTGCCACTGGCACTGTGGAACCACTATGTCAGATTCATTCCCGGCAAAACCCAAAGCAAATAGCATTACATCAGGGATGAACCTGACCTTTCATTCTTAATAGCTCCAAAGGCAAAAGGTCAGAGAAAAACATGTCAGTATTCTTGACCGTATTGATGTTTGGTTTTGCACACGTCTTTCATCTAATAGAAGAGGTCTCAGTTCCTCACCCTGAAGCTTTCTCAGCTGGGAGATTCAAGCTTGCAATAAACTCATTCTCTGGTGGAGTAAGTAAGTTTGGGTTCTTGGAGGGGAAGAGAGAAAAACAGTCAAATAAAAGAACACAACCTAGCAGTGCCATCTGGCTAACTTTGTGCAAGGGACAGGGATAGTATTAAAGCAAAGACTTGCATGGCCTTCCTTTACCATACATGCAGACAAACTGCTCAAGCATTACCCTTTGCCATCTGAGTGGGAAACAGTAGCTTAGTAGTTGAAAGCAGGGTCAAAAGGTGGGTTGAGTAAGTTATTGCTAAAAAATCCCAAACCCTGCAGAAATCCAGTGAGATGCTAGTTGCAGCTATTACACAGGTATTTCTTGGCTTCCACAATCACAACTCTGTTATGAGCAGTATTGTTGTTATGTGGTTAGGTTCAGGGGATTTTCTCCATGCTGAGGACCAAGGAGGCTTCTCAGACCTGCCTCTGTCTCATCCAAAAATAGAGCAAAGCCTCACAGCTCCACAGCAGGGAGTTATGGCCTGGGTCACAGGGGTTTGCTATTTCTGCTTGCTCAGCTGTCTCACACAGACACTAGAGAAAGAGATACTAGAAGCAAGCGCAAGCAGCACTGGAGAAAAAAGAAGTGGAAGTGCAGAGCTCTGCTAAGAGAAAATGTTCCTCTCTCTGGACTATCCAACTCATATTAACCAGCTAAATTTGAATTTTAAATAATAGGCAGATAACACATTTGAGGTCCACAAAGTGAATGGACTGGACACGTATAAGAGTTGGGAAAAGCTCACTTTCCATCTGTAATAAAAATCAGTTTAAAGTTAGTAGATCCACTGGCCACACACATGGCTTCACTTCTGTAGATTATTGCAGCTTGTGTTTTAACTGGCTTTTCAATTTGTTTCTGGTCACTGATCCACGGAGGATGCTTGCTATGTCATATTTTGGCAGGAATTGGAGAGAATGCATGGAAAGCAGAATTGGTAGTATGTTACTTATAATTGACTGGCATGACATCTATGGGTTTATCTGGCAGAGAGCATGGCTGATGGCAGTGTTCACTGCCAAGAGACCTAGCTCTGGAGAGCACCTGGCAGGACAAAAGTAGAACAAGTTTGGGGTGCAGTTTTTCTTCAACAGAGTGTATTTACTCTTGCTTTTTATTAGAATTTCTGCCTAATTTGCAAGGTGGGTTTTTTTGATGACTTACAAGAAAATTAAGTTTAGACATACTGATTTCTTCTGGTATGACTATTGCCAGCAAATCTAACTGAAAAGCCTTTACCTTTCTGGCTGGGTAGGCAGTGCTTTTCTTTGCTGATCACTAGAGCAGGTACCATCTAGCATGTAAACAATTGTCAGGCACTTCGCATTCTTTGACAAGTCATTGCCCCTCTGTGCCTTTAAGTATGCCTAAGTGCCCACTGGAGAAGGCCTAGGGAGAGACACAGCAGGAGGGAGATGTTGTTTGAGACTCCCTATGCTCTATCCCATATGGATGGGATGTGTTTTCCCCTTCGCAGTTTTCCTTAACAACCTGCGTGGAACAGAAACAAGCAAGGAGACTGTTTTTAAGGAAGAATCCTATTTATGGTAGATAATAACATGTATGTGTGGTCAGGTAAAAAAGCAAAATGCTTCCCCAAGGTGGTATTAATTTCAAGCCTTTGCAAGCTCAAAATTGCCTGGGACTGTATTCGTGGTGATGCTGGCTCCACCTCTGCCAGGGATGCCGCCGTTCCCATAGCAACTCCCCATCTCCCGTTTTAGTCTTTCCCTTCCCTTTGATCAAACAAGATAATTCCCAGATACAGAATGAGCTAACAGCATCCAGGTGCAGTACAGTTTGCATTAACACTTGCTTAGGAGGAGAAGGCCACTTGATACTTTCCCACGGCAGGCGGTTGCAACCACCATCACTTGGCCTCCTGTGCTGAGAGCGCTTTACCTCTTCACAGGGAAGGTTTCCAGCCCACCTCGTGCTCCAGGGTATCAGTGAGAAAAGGCAGGACTCTGCAAAGCTCATGCACACCCAGGCACTGGAAAAGGCTGTGTTCATAGCCCATTAAGTTTATAACAACCATATCTAGTCTTCAGCATGTTTCTGTTTCTTGCCAAGACCCTACACAGCAGTTCTTGCTGTACAGTGAGCCGTCAGACCCCAGTGGCTATGATCCTTGGGGCAAAAATACATTTCCCAGGATGCAGTGACCCGCCATCTCTACAACAAGGCAAGACAGCCCCTCTGCTCTCCTCACCCTGATGTTGAAGGCTGCAAGTGATTAGATCTTAGTTTTGAAGAGCAGGTAGAAACACAGGGGAATATAAGATATTTTTTTAAAATCAGATGGACAGTATGGCACTTTTTAAAGAGCTCTGTGCAGCTTCCTTTGCATTTCTGCAGCACTCTTTCTGTTGAGAGGTGACTGCAGGAGAAGGTCAAGTTAGGACAGTAATAGTCCAACAGGCACATTTCTGCTAAAGCCTTTCTCGATTGCAACCACTGCTTCGAATGACTTAGATGCATGCTCTCCTTTTCCCCTACAGTTGGCCATGGGCAGAGCGAGGGTGATCGTATGGTTATCTCAGATTTCCACGTCTTCATCAGGGACAGCTTGCAGCACATTGATCTCATGAAGAAAGAGTACCCCGACCTGCCCATTCTCATTCTGGGGCACTCCATGGTAAGCACCATCCCCTACCCCCCGGCAGCACCCAGGACACGTGCCGTAGCACGGTGGTACTCTTCTGGATGGCAGGAAATAACTGAGCCCACAGCAGGAAAAACAAAACTACGAGCAACCTTCCCTTCCGCTTCATTCACTGCCTCATTTGTATGCCTTACCCCACGAGATCTGTCTTGGGTCAATCCTTAGTCAATCCTTAACTTTTCTACCCAGATCATGGCCCTAATTAGTGCCATTTGCAACAAGGGGCCTATTTTTTAATAGGACTGTTCATTCACACTGGGTACATGGTAAGTCCCACCACCTCCCTGCAGCATTGGGCTTCTCCTTTCATTTTAAACAGTAACCAGGAGGTTAAGCCCTCCAAAGCTTTGTGGGTGGCTAAGGGATGAAGCACAAAAATACCATGTGGCCTTATTCTGTTAAACAACCTAACAGGAAAATGTACCAGGGATTAGGGCTGCAAAAACAAAGGCAGTGATTTGGGGAACAGATCTCAAGTCTGATTCTGACAGCACGGGCCAAATCCCTTTATTCAAGCTAGCAATATTCCCACTGATCTCATTGATCTGCTCTCCCTGCCTTCCTGGAGGAGAGGAAAACGAATAAGTACTTTGGGATTCAGCCCATGCTCAGATAAACAAGTGTTCTTGCATAAGAAGGCATGGCGTGCTCTGAAGTGCTCGCTGCTCTCCAAAGCTGCTGTAACAAGGAGCTAATTTCCCAGTGAGGTCTTTGAGATGCTTCTCACTGCTACTCCATTTAACAAGCCCATAGTTCTCTGGCAGCGTGGAAGTTCACCAAATATTTCCCTTGGCAACTAATCCTCTGCAGACTTTCCCAAGCAAGCCAGCTAGATCCCTTCTGTCCCCCAGCCCTCATGCCATCAGCCTCTGTCCTGATGCAGGAGGGCTCAGCCTGGCTGGCCTTCAGCTCTAAACCGTGGGCTGGGTGTTCGCTGTCAGGCCCTGAGCACAGCACTGCAGGGCTGGCAGGGCTGCGGACACTGAAGAGAAGAATATTTAACTTCCAGTAATTAGTGAAGATTTTCACATGCTGGATGGCAGCATTGCTGTTGCTCAGGTTACCAGTGCCACAAGCACGGAGCGAGCCCGGCTTCACGGCAGCTTCCCCATGCAGCAGCAGCCTGTCACGCTGATAAAGCCTCAACTAATTTTTCAAGTCCCACCTCAACTACCACTTCAGACATTTTCTTCTTAGTCCTTTTAACTGAGGAGGACACAAGGCATCTGAGGGAGCTGATGGACATTGCACGGAGGGTTGAGTTCAGTGTGACGTGAGGGTTTATGGCATGAGAACAGAAACCAGGTCTCTTCTCCCTCACAAAACCCAGACACTTCTAGGGCCCCTACTCCTCCAGTCTTCCTCACTGACCACACTGCACTCTCACTGGGCAGAAATAATTTGCTTGTTTGGACTAAAACCCTTCCAGTAACAGGATTATTGTACAAACGAGATGTTGACACCTGTATTAAGCTGTGGGCTGTTATTTTGCATTGCAGGGGGGAGCCATCTCCATTCTGACAGCTAGTGAGAGACCCAGTGAGTTTTCAGGCATGCTGTTAATCTCTCCTTTAGTGGTAGCCAGCCCCGAAGTCGCCACTCCCATCAAGGTAAGAGCAAACCGGCGTTGCACATAGTCACCTCGCTCTTCCACTGAAGGAAACACGTTAAAACCTCTAGCCTTAAAATGCAAAGCCCCATGGAGATCTGTGGCACCTGGATGCCAGTCAATACTTCTCTTCTAAGTGTCTCCCCCACAGTCCCACCTGCTTTTTAGGGGGGAAGGGAATCCTGAACCCATCCAGAAAAATTTATTTAAATGAGTCGGATAATGATGCTACCTCGGGAGGTGGTAGCAGACTGTGCTTTCTTCACCCCACCCTGCAGCAGCCCACACAGTGCCGTCCTTTCCCTTCCTCGCCTACAGTTTTCTTCCTGACTCATATAGAGTCTGGTATAGTTGCAACACAGGCTGCTGGCCAAGTCAGGCCAGGGTTATTTTTGGTGTTTGGGGATGACCAATTTCTAAACAAAACTAGAGCTCCTGAGTCCCAGGAATCCTTCATGAGGCTCAAAGGAGGCTTCCAGCTAAAGCATCCCTGCCCCAGCAGCATCCCATTTGGCTTGGTACCATAGCTGGTTCTTGTCCAGACCATCTCCTTCAGTTTGCATTTAGGCTTTACCCCCCTCCCATTCACATCTCCCTTCCAGAGCTATTTCTGATCCAATTTTGCACTGCCCAGTTTGCCCTTCCCCACAGAGGCTCTGCAAGGCAACTGACCCTCAGCTCTCCCCTCCTTTCTGGATTTTTAAAAGAATAAACAACAATCCTAAAAGAAGCTGGAAGCAAAGGGAAGGACCAGCTAAGCCAGCAGGAAAGACAGACCATCTCATTCCCACAGGACTCGTTCATTTATCCTTTCTCCCTAGACTCTTCTTCTATGGCTAGCTTCTTGTTTTAATCTTCTTCTAAGCTATTTCTCCTGGTGTTTTTTTTCTTCTGAGAGAGAGGGAACAGATTGCCTCAGCTTTCACTATAATCCTGTCACACCTTCAGCTATAGCCCAAGCCATCTACTGACCTCACAAATCATTACAAGCACCAAAGGGTGCTTTTTAATCACCTCACTTTTCCACTGAAGGAAAAGCATTAAGACCTCTAGCCTTAAAATAAAAAACCCTGCTGAGATCTGCACTGCCTGGATGCCAGTCAGTGTTTTCTTTCTAAGTGCCTCCCCCACAGTCTCACTGACTTTTCAGAGGGGAAGTGTATCCTGAAGTCATCCAGTCCTGGAAAACTTGTTTAAATAGGAGTCAGAGCACCAAAGCATGCTTTTAGGAGGCTGGTAGCTGATTCTTCATAGATGAGGCTATATCTGACTCAGCATAGGGGTCCCATGAGCACCAGCACCCCTGTTTTTTCTGACTTTGGAAAGGGAAAAAGAATAAATATTAAGGAAAAAAAAATAGAGTCTGAATCTGAGAGACACTGTTAGCCTTCTTTTTCTAGTCGAGTCAAGGAAAATAAGGAAATATTTTCCTTCTTCTAGAGTTATATGTTTTGCTAGATGCTAAACCCTTTCTGAAATAAGGACTCACCAGTTCTGTGGGAACTAGTGCTACTGTAGTCTGGTTTCTTGCAGATCTGTACCAGCTTGTTGCTTTATTTCAGTGTAGGAAATCCTAATCTCGAACTGAAGTATTTTGGATGTGTTTATATGGTCTCTTTCCTAGAGAGTCTCTCACATGCAGTAATGCAAGTGCACAGTGAGTTTCTTTCTCTTTCAAATCTATTCTTGTGTCTCAGAACTGATAAAATATTAATTATTCCTGAAATAGCTCTGCTCTGTCAAATTTAGTTGAAATCGGTCCTGGAGTTGAAAAGGTATTTGCAAGAGGAAGGAGTAAAAACCGGCAGAGTATTCCTGCGTAAGCCACATTTTCCCATAAAGCTGAGCTGAAAACACTTGTGTGCTTTTTCTTCCTCTGAGAGCCAAACCCCATTTCATTGGTGTTTGTGCCTCTGAGGCACAAAGGCTTTGGTTTTCCCTTGGCACTGGTACGACTTCTCGGCCCTGGGCCATTTCCCAAGGACCATCGCATTCATCTCTTTGCTGGGGAAGTTTCCAGCTGAGCAAGAATTTACCTTGGCCTAAACAAATGAGGGCTCAAGGCAACAATAACAGTGGGCCAGATTACACACTGGGTCCTTCAGTCTGGCTTTGAAATACCTTCGCTTGCTGCCGAACCAGCCCTAGCAGCAGCAGAAACACAGTGTGTTTGCAAGCTACATGCAGGAAAATCGAATTCTGCTCTTTGCAGGAACACCATTTCATCAATACCCTATAAATCCTGTGTTCTGATAGAAGCATCCAGTTGCAAATCCAGTGGAGGGAGAGAGATCTTTCTGCCTTCCCCTTTTTGTTCTCCACTGATCTGGACAAAATTCAGCTCTGAATCTTCAAAATTTCAAAGGATGCAAAGGGACAGGTGTCACATATGCTGGCAAAGAGCAGAATAAGGGTAAAAGAGTATCTCCCACTACATTTCTGCTATTGAATGCTTTGAATTCAGGTGGGCAGGACAACCCCTGAGGAAATACTCCCTAGTGATTAATCTTGTACGAACCCTCAGCCCATTGCTTAAGGACTCAGTACACAATATTCTCTCTTTACTTCTTGTGTTTTCCATTTCGCCTCTTGCTGATCTGTTGCTTTCCAACCCAACTGGACATCACGTTGTTCCAGTACCTGAAGGTCTCCCGGTCATTCAGCCTGAATCTGCACCCAGTGCAGAAGACTGTTTCTGAAGATACAGTCAAATTGGAAGAAAGTAGTGTATTAAAACCTCTTATTTTGGCTCTGCTCTGGTCTGTCCAGTTTAGCAGAGATGTTAGTCATCAGGCTCAGAAAAACCTATATGAATTGGTTTGGTATCCAGGTGTGGAGACACTGTATCTGATACATATCGTATATCTGGTATCATATGTCCCTGATCACACTGGTCAGTTGCTCTCAACCTGCTCTCTGTAGCTTATCACAGTGTCTCTTCCAGAGACTTTTCAGCTCAGTCAAATGAGCCTGGCTAGCTTAACCAGTTCAAACATTACATTTTTGTAAATCCAGCTCATTTGTAGCTGAAATGAACTAAAGGAGTTTGGCAAGCAGATATCATGGGAGAGAGAAATAAGCACATTGAGGTGTGGAAGGAACAGGAATTCCTCCATTCAGAAGAAAAGTGTCTACACTGTGAAGCATCTATACAGTTAAACTAATGCAAAAAAACATTAAACCAGCTTGAAGTTACACTTCCAGTCAAGAGACAATGCTCAGCCATCTATTTCAATCTTATTCTGAGATCTTTTTCATAGACAAGGAAGGGCCGGATTTGAGCACTGTTAGTATTTTGCACGACTGTGGTGGCCTTGAGTAGCTCTAATAACTGCTGCTCCGTAGTGTGATCCTCAGCCCAGGCAGTAATAGCCCCATCATTGCATTACCCGTTCTTCATCATTTGGGAGCTGTTCTCTCAAGAACTGCCACTTTGAACCACCAGGGAGATAAACTCTTAATCTATCAAATATAGCCAGCATTTCAACAATATGGCCTTTAATTAAGGTCCAGCGTGTCACAAACTGTGTAACAATGCTCGCAAAATCAGTCAAGGCCCAGGGGAACCTTCTGAATTTTTTATTATAACATAAAACTTGATTTTTCTGGCCATGACCTTGCCTCCAAGAAACATCAAAATTACATCAGAATTTAGAGGGTGTAGTACATGTTGGGGAGAGTGGAGCATTTCCTGCTGTTCTGAAGACCTTTTGAAGGATGGTGGCAGAGTCCTTTCACAATCAGTCCTATAGACAAGGTTAGTTCTGTCTGTGCAGATATAGGAGTTTTTATGCATGCAGGGCATATATATATGTGTGTGTAAGCACATCTGACATGTCTATGTACAGGGCCTGGTGCTTCTCTTGTACAGCTGAACACCAGAAATGACTCCACTGATACCGTCAACCCAGGACGGTACGTGCTGCTGTAGTTGTGGTTAGAAGCCAGCCCTATCTCTGTGGCAGTTTAGCAGTCAGCTTGTGACTGGGTTTGGCAAAACTCCAGATATGCGTAAAAACTTCAAGAACATTTTCAAAGTGTGTCACGGAGGCAAGGTCATCAGTAGGCTGTGAGGTTGCGATGATAAACATATATCATTTGAACAGAAAAATGGCCATACTAAATCTGACAAAAGCCTGTCTAGCCTGTCTCCAACAAGGAAGAGCCTGAGAAAGAGCATATATGTAGTTCTTCTTTCCTGGTCACACCTTCCTCGCCTTCAGCACATTGTTAGGCTGGTGTATTTTTGCTCATATGAGAGGAAGATTCAAATTTATACTCCTTCTGCAAAATCCCTATTGCAGATCCTTGGGAATATAAATATTCACACATGTAACAAGCAGGAATCACCATCAAACTCGTGGCTTATTCTGGAATTTGAAAGTATGTCAACTAACTTCCTTCTTCAGCCAAATTTAAAAGTAAGCAAAGCACCCATCTTCCAAAAAACATGCTGTCTTTTACTCTTTTATGTGTCATCTTGGACCTAAATATCTGTGGCCTTTATACCAACATATTGATCTTGTGGCCAATACTCTAAATAGATCTTGAGAGAGCATCAGCCAACTGTTCATGCCAAGGTATTTCCTCTTGAATAAGCAATCGTTAGGCATAAGAATTCACCCTACCTCTTAAGTCAGGCTCCAGTTTTAGGGCAGCCTAATTGCCTGAGGTTGTCGTGGTATTCTTTGGAAACAGACACTTCCAGACCATTATTCAGATGTTAGAGGTGTTCTGCGGGGTGTTTCACTCCCTGTGCTCTGTAAAGAAAGCCTAAGACAATTACACTTCTATGTTAAATACCTCAGCTAGCTGTCTAAAGTTACTTGGCATATATCTGCGTCATCGTAAGTGGTTGGAGAGAAGCAAAACTCTTACAGCATTGTCAGCGCCCAGAGTCCATAACCTTGCCTAGGATTCATGAAGGTGTATTCCTCAAATCCTGGAGTTAACACAAATCAAAGCAAACCCCATTCCTAAGGCTCATACTTGCATTAGTGTGGATATGTTATTTAACTAGTGTAACCACAGAGACCTCAAGAGAAATTAACTTTGCTGACACAATGTCATAGCCAGTGAGGGGCTCGATATACTGGTAGACAGTGACACCAGTTCCCAGTCATATCCACCCCGATGCACACATGTGTTCCCAAATCTACTGTGAGTCTTTACTGCTTTTCACTCTTGGATGATTTTGACTTCAACCTTGCGTTATTCCTCTAATATCATAATTACTCTGTCATGTATCATCTGTGATCTGAAATGTCAGGGAGTGCTTCAGAAGTGATTACGTATCAGCAGAAACAGAGAACATAGGTGACAGCCTTTCTACAAGTGCTAGCTGTGAACACAAAAGGCCATAAAACAGACCAACAAACACTAATTGCATATTTTCTGACTTCAGGGGTGATCACTTAATTAAAGACAGCTATCAAAGATCAGAGCAGAACCATGGTATCAATGTACTTGTAGTGCTATTGAAATGAAAGATGTTAGCCTTTCTTCTGCCAGCAGTGTTGAGCCTGGGCTGTTGAATGCTTTTGTGTTTCGTTCCCAGGAGACAAGTGAGCAATGGATTTCCTTAGCCAATGCATGCATGTTTTGCTGTTGTTTATTTACAGGTTCCCCAGAGAATATGCTTATCAAAAAGAGTGCAGCCTAGGCAACTTCTGCAAATTGCACCGAACATCACTTATGTGCTGCAACCTGAAATCAGAGCTGTGGCAGCAAGGAAAGGGCAGTAAAACAACAAAACCCAGCCCTTCTGAGGGCTGGAAATGGCTTTTTCCTATCAAAGTGTTTAACTGAGGCCTTTTTAGAAATTAACTTGAGAATGAGAAAAAGACAAAGTACAATGAAGTTGTGATGTTGCATGTGGACGGACAGCTGATGGCATTTCAGACAAGCACACCCACTCCCTGTTCCCGCGAGCAGTTTAAACACTTTCTCTTTAAGAGAAATGTTTTAAATATAGAACAGATCTTTCTCCAGTGTCAGTTGACATTTCTCAACTATTTAACTTCCATGCTGATTCCCGTCAGCTCAGGACTGGGCCCTCTATGTTATCTGTCTTGCTCTAACGAGCTCTTTAACTGCTTGCTTTCCTCTCCCACAGGTTTTTGCAGCGAAAGTGCTCAACTTTGTTCTCCCAAACCTGTCACTGGGATCAATAGATCCAAACGCAATTTCCCGGAACAAGAAGGAGGTGAGAACCTTAATGCCAATTAAAGTCACTGCATAGTCGGTATCTTGTCCCAGTCCTGCCATTTCTCTTTAAAACAAACAAAAAAAAGTCTTTTGCTAAATCATGAGGGCAAGATCTATGCTGGTGTAAAAACCTGAAACATCTCTGAAGTCAGTGGAACTGACTGCACGTAGCAGAAAACTGTGTCGGGCCAGCTGTTCTTCCCTTCGGTGTGCCTGGCACCCACAGCCGCTCTGGGTGCAGGACAGAACAGAGACCGGTGCTACGGTTGTGGTGGAAAGCACGTGGGAACCATGTTTGTCTCTGCTCAACCACCACTACTCATGACAGCGGCAAAACCCAACTCATACAGGTTGCAAACACACTGCTAAAGTCAACTTTTCCAACCTGCTCTTTGCAGTGAAACTGTGCAAAACTCTACAGTCCTGGAGATTTGTCCTGCTTACAAACCAGGGTCACATTGTGTCGAACGCATTCAAACAGAGGAAAAGAGCATGCTTGCCCCAAAGACCTTGCTACAAGAACTCCTGGATCACACGCTGGCTCTGCTACAGCCTTTCCAAACAAACGATGTATTCTTGCTGCACCCGAGAATAATACTTAAATGAGCTGCAATTGAGGCAGCCATTGTAACAACCAAGTTCCAGCTCCACCATTGCGACTGTGCATGGAGCTGTTCCAGGCTGAAGTTTTTGTAGTGTCACCATAGCTTGGGACTCTTCTCCCATTCATACCCACTCCTAGGAATAACGGTTGCAGCCTATTCATGCCATCACTGGCAAAACCAGATGTCGTTGCAGCTGCTGCAACAAACGTAACAAGGGTTTTTCCTTCTCATTCCTGTGGGAGGAGTGAAAGGAGGGAGACATGAACTGTAAGTGAATGACGGTGCTTTGGCTGGACCCAGAACTTGGTGCATTTCAGAAGTCAACTTGGATGATAGAAAGCGGCACCCAGGTGTGTCTCAAAAGCAGGAGAGCTTTGCTGGTGTAGGGGTCAGTTGTTCCTGTGCTCCTACATCAGCTTGCATCCCCCTGACAGGTGCTGTAATTTTTCCTGCTGCTTATGCAATGGTTCATATCTTAAGTAGACGTTAATAAATTGCCTTCTTCTGGGGAGGCAGCTCGACTGGCATTGGAATGGAAACTGAAAGGATCAGGAGCAAAGACATGTCAGCGGCTGTGTGAGTGCAATGCATTCAGCCCCGGCATATCCCACCTCTTTGACTCACCCATTCAGTAAACTGGAAAGCGAAGTCTCCCAGAATAGCCTCAAGGCTTTCGGGGTTGTTTCTGGGCTCTGCCAAAGAGTTTTTTGGTCAAACGACTTTCAGTTCACTTACCTGTGAACATAGCATTCCATTTCACTGGGTTGGAGGTGGGAAGATTCAAGGAGCTGAGCAAAGGAAGACAGAGTGGGTCCTAGGAAACTGTTGGGCCTAGCATGGAGAGAGTTCATGTGCATCCCCTGATGCAAGAACATCATATGACATATGTTCTTAAGTACCATATGAAGCTGCACAAAATATATACTTGGGAAGAAGGCTGATTCCAGTCAAGCTACAGAAACCTGTTCTTAATTACATTCAGCTGCCATAACTTGTTGCATATAATTCAGAGAAAAGGTTTAAATTAGACAACTGATTCACTAAAATCATGCAGAGGAAAGTTTTCACTTCTGCATTTGGATTTAGAGGATAGAAGCAATCAGTGCTCTAGAGGAGAGGAATTTGGGAGTGTTACCCCCTACCTGAAGAGTGCACGTAGCTGGGACACGTGGGCCTTTGCCTCCCTCTGCACTTATTTGTGATGTGGCACTTGAACTCTGTGCCGCAGCTAGTCCTTGAGGGTGGCAGTTTTAAATATACCTCTGACAGCGGGATCCTCTGCTGGGAGATGCTAGTGCTGCACTAAATAGCTTTACAGGAGAAAAGTGATGATGTAGGGACATCCTGAATAATAATGCATTCAGAAAAGTGTCAGTGAGCTCCCTTAATTTGGTGCACAATATTGACCGAGTGTTTCCATGTTGGAGTGATGTTAGGAATCACCACAGCAACCACTGGACATAGTTTAAAATAAATGCTGTTGTGTTGTCTTTCTACCCAAATATTTGCTGCTGCTCCCTCTGCTCTGATGCTCCAAGTCTCAAGAGCTTCCTTTCAGTGTCGTTTTTGTTCTGCCCTTTCCCTTTCCGTGGAGCAAGGGAAAGCCTTTTGCAGTGGATAAAAATGTAGGTCTGCTTCATTAGAATCTGTTTATAATGGAGCAGTCTTCAAACTGAGAGAACAAACCCCTCCTTGCTGTGCTGCCTTCACACCTGCAAGTGAACACACAGCTGACATAGTAGCTGTGGATTGCCATGTAAAGCGCTTTCCTGACCATTTTCAAACACCAGGATTTGAGGCTCCAGGCACTTACTGAAGACAACACAGCACCTCGGTCCTCTGGCTGCCTCTAATGCACACTCCACCCTCCTTTTGGGCTCAAAACGCACAGCTTCAAAGCACACAATGTGCTGGAAACATCCATTATTTATATGTTAAACATCTTCTCCTGCCAGAGCAACTTTCTATTCTCTAGAAATATTTTTAGGACATCATCCAAGAATTTCCTGATGAGTTTGTGCTCCCAGCAGGCTGTCCTCAGGGTGTAGGGACTGAAACACAGGATGGTACAGAGATGTTTGTTTGGTCTGCTTGCCATATCAAATGCAAGAGACACAAAGGAGAGCAACAAGGAACCTTAAAAACCTAGTCCTGTTATTCCAAGGAGGAATAACATCACAGGAGCGGGCACCCCTTTACCCCACTAATCTTTGTTAGCAGCCTTTGATTTCAGTGGAATAGTCCCCCTGACTTTAGTCTTGCTCCTGCAGAGTCCACACAGGATGAGGCTGCAATTGCCTTATAATAAATTTGTTGCTCTGCAAAATGCAAAGGGAAGATGCAGACATCTAAGCAGGGGAATATAAAGCAGCAGGAGCCCTGATGGTTGTTTCTGTCTTAGAATTAAGGAAAGAGCAAGAAGAGCTGTTGCGATGGAGTCTGCAGAGCCTTCGCTAGACCGTGGCTGGAAGCAGTCGCAGGCTCTCCTGGGGCCACCCTCACTCGCTTGCCCCCGCTGTCTCAGAGCTCGCTGTGCCAACGGGAGCTCTGGGCTTGCAGGGTTTGCAGTTTATAGCTTGCAGAATACCAAGCCCATTCCCTATCTTTCCCTCTTTCCCCAGCAAGCTGCTGCTTTGCGCTAGCCCCGTGCACTGAACATTAACTCTGACAAGGATTCCTGTTCATTGACTGGGAACAGGATACTCGCCCTGCAGTCCTCATTGATTGGGGTTGGGATTGGGTTTGTTTTTTTTTTTCCCCTCCCATCATCTACACAAAAATATTTGTTGGCTGCTCAGTAGCTAAAAAATCCCTGTTCTTTCAGAAAAGAACAAGAGAAAGAAAGAAACCCATTAGGTCATTCTTTTAGCATTTATGGGGCTGGGGAGGGGGCCAGCTCACATGAATTCATCAACATTGTTTTACTCCATGAGAAGGGAACTTCTGTCAATCCATCCGCCCACCCCTCCTGATTCCCCCGCTGCAAAATCCTTTATTTGTTGCCTTCAATTAAAAAAAAAAAAAACAGAAGAAAAAAAAATAAATCCATCTGAAAGCTGTGTTGCTTTAGTGCAGTGCTGTGACATAGATCCAGACAAGTAACTCCCAGATTAGCCTGAAACCAGTTGCTAAGTAGCCAGTGCAACACGGTGGTTTTGCTCAAAATGCTGATGAAAAGTCAACATGTTTGGCTGAAAATATCAGGGTACACCCAGCTGTCCACGGGAGAGCTAGCAACATCACACCGGGCGGTTGGTGTTTTGAAAGTCAAAGCTGAACTTTCTCGGTGAGCATGTTCATAAGAGGATGCTTCTTTCTAAACACAGGCAGCTTCTTGCCCCTTTTGAAGCACTTTGAGGAGCAGGGAAGGTATGGCAGGCAGACAGGCTGAGCGGTGTAGGGGATGGAGGATGCGGGTGGAGGTTTCCGCACCAACAAGGTGGTTGGGCACTGGAAGGGTCCATGCCGAGCCAAGAGGACCACGTGCTGCTCAGCCTCCCTGCTTCCTGGGGCCTTTAGCAGGAGCAGAAGATGCTCAGCATGTCTTAAGAGTGGATCCTTTTACCTTTACCACAATCTCATCTTTGCAGCGGCCTCTTACAAACTGTGTTTTCCAAACCCTCAGCGTGCATGGGCACTTGCTTCTTTGAAAGGGAGATACAATGCATAAGATCCTAATATTATTAGCTGTGATGAGAGACCTCTATCTTTGTCTCCCTGTGAAAAACTACCCCTCACTTCAGAGTAGCCATGACCTTGCACAATGATGGCCTTAATCGAATACTAGGAACATCTGCTGCATCCAAGGATCCCTAAATGAGTGCTAGAACAACTTGAATTTCTTTGGTCCAACTCCAGCACAAATTAGAGTGGCTCTACAGCTGTTACTCCCTTGACCATCCGCAGCACTGTGGGCTTGGACCGAAGGGTGCCAGCCGCTAATAATCCCAAATTCCCACCCACTCCTTCCCCTTGCTGCACTTGGGGATAGGAACTGCGGGTTCAAGCAGCAGGAGATGGTGGGGACTGGAAGCAAGAAGGTGATGGGGAAAGACTTGTGAGCACCAGCATGCCTCGCTGCCAGCTCCGTTTACAGCGCTTTGTGATCCAACACATTTGAGATGACAAGGAGGGAAACTGGTTTTATGCCCTCTGGCAAATTAATGCCCCCAGCCGGGAAAGCCCCACCATGTAGTGTCCCTTACCACCCTGATAAACACATCTCACAGGGAGATGAATGCAGAATCCACTCCAAAGCCTTTCTGGCTTCTCGGTGGGGACCAGGCAGGCCACGCTGTCTTGCTACAGTGCATGTCTGTGCCTGTGCCTACGCATAGCTGCGTCTCCCTGGGGTGGCCTTGTGGGTCACCTCCCACCCGTGGTCCCCTCAGGGCAGGCATGTGCAGCAGCAAGAGAGCCTCAGGTTTCTCCAAAGCGAGGGAGAATTTGAATAGACCCCACTGCCTTCGAGGAGAGGAGGAGACTCTTTTCGGCTAACCTATAAATAACCATAATTTCTGTAAACATCTGCCAGGGTTGGGAGAAACTGGAGGCTGTGCCAGAGACCAACCCATAATCAAAGCATTCTGGCAAATATTGAGATGGCAGTGGCTGTGTGGGCCGTCTCCATGTACAGTATACAAATATTTACTGTAGATTTGCCTGCTGCAGTAACTACTGATTCCTAGCAGCTTTCTGCATCAGCCCTTGTACATTTCTATCCTCTCACAGTCTGGCTGAGCAAGTTGAGAACTTTTTCTTTTTTGCCTACCACCTAATACCATCATTTGCTGCCTCATCTGTGCACACTTTGCACCCAGAGAGGACCTCTCAGGGTAAGAGTGCTTTGCAGTCAGATGTGTCAGTTATCTGTAGGTGTAGGTCACATTCTTCAACCGCAGAGAGGGAAGGTGAAAGAGAAGAACATCTGAGCCCTCAGTAGAGAGGATAAGGACCCGGAGAACATCAGTTTTCAATCAATGCGATCTGAAGAACCCTTTGCCGAAGAGATGTCACGTTTGAGTGACAGAAGGACATAGCAGAGGAGGAAAATGCAGACAGGTGCCCCCATGGGAACAGTCTTTGTCCAACACTGGTTGTTTGCCTGCAGTAAGAGCTTTGGCTTGAATATTTTGTGATTTAAGAGAGAAACACGCAGCAAGGAGTAAGCCAGGTTGTTTGAGCAGTTCTGGGTAGCCACAGTAAAGACCTTGACCTTGACTCTGATGGCAGGATGTCCTGACAGAGTAGGAAATGACCGTGCAAGCCAAGGGAAGAAACTTCTTACTGCCAGGCTGATCTGCTGTGTCTTTTCTTCATGAAATATTGCTAATCTTGAATTACCTCTTTCTCCCTGCCAGATGGAGTCTTACACATCTGATCCCTTGGTCTACCATGGTGGCATGAAGGTCTCCTTCGTCATCCAGCTGATGAATGCCATTGCTAGAATTGAGCGAGCTCTGCCCAAGCTGACTTTGCCCATCCTGGTGCTACACGGCTCTTCCGCCAAGCTCTGCGATATCAACGGGTCCTATTTGCTGATGGACACAGTGCAGAGTCAGGACAAAACGCTCAAGGTCATCTTGCTTTCTTGATTTTTAGGGTATTATCCTGTCAGTGTTGGCCTGAGCATGAGTGACTGTGAGAGGTAGGGAGCCTTCTGAGCTTCTGAGAGCTGGAGGCAAAGCAGGGCTGATCCATTGGTGAGACCGAGGAGGTTACAGCCCCTTTCACCAGGAGGCAGCCCAAGGGTAGCCCTCCCTAGGCATGGTGTGGTGGGCTTTCACCAGCTACAGCTGGGCTACGGGCAGGGGGTGGTGGGTGGTCTCAGGACCTGACCCAGCGGTGGCTGTGTACCTAGAGGATCTCTTGGACATGAAGCAGCTTGGTGTAGAAGTAGAGTGAAGCTCATAAGCAGGTAAAGCGTTGACCCCAAAAGCTCTTCTGAACAATGCCGACTGTGTGGCACCAACCTTACCTCATGCCCCAGCGCATAAAGGTACAGGGGGGCCTTTCCAAAGCGCTGCACAACAAAAGCCACTTCACATCTGCTCATTTCAAGAGAGCCACAGCTGATTAACCAATTGTTAGCACATGAATGAGCCTGAAAGAGAGACAGGGAGACCAAGGGAAAGCTTTTGTCATTGGAAAAATAACTGGATAGTCTGGGCATAAAAAGAGTAAAATTGCACAAGGCATGATGGGAACATCCCCCATTGTCCTTTAAACTCCAAGGGCATGATAAGTATTTCCTCCTTCTTAGTGGGATAAGAAGCAAGAAATGGATGGGGCTGGGACATGCATTATCCTCCCAAAGGGCGGCAGGGTGCTTGGGGAACATGCAGATGTCAAGCTGCAATGCCAATGCCTTCCTGCTCATGGAGGGCCAGCACTGCCAATGGCTTGTATTTGCTTTCATAACCTGCCACATCTAGGAAAAAACCTGACAAGGTGTGGGCAGGACATGTTGGACCTGTGGGTGTTGACAAGAGGGGACTGAAGACTGTTTTGTTCATACGGATTTTTTTTCTACGCTAATCTCTGCTCTCTCCCTGGTTGCAGGTGTACGAGGAAGCCTATCATGCCCTCCACAAAGAGCTGCCCGAGGTCTCTACCTCTGTCTTCACAGAAATACTAACATGGATTGGCCAGAAGGTCTCAGCAGCTGGGGAAACCAGCCATACTTAAGAGCAACGGGTTTTGCAGCTCTTAGTGGGGTTTTCTGGGAATAGATGCTTGTCTTAATAGAAGTCTCTCTGAAACAGATCTAACGTGGAGGGACTCTTGGGATATTTTACCATGCACAGCATAAGGGAGGGTGGGGGGAGAGGCACAGGGTAGGGCATTATTTGCTGATGTAAATGGCCATTGCCCTAATCTGGAGAAGAACTGATAGCTGTGGGAGCAGCCATCAAAGCTGTCCAGGTTGGGTGACTTTACTGAAATGCCACTCACCCACCAAACTTCCCCCACCACTTGCCCTTCTCTGCTTTCGCTGGGGTGACAGGGGTGTATTTATACTGCAATAATTTTTGGTATGTTAAAGAAGTTAGTACCTTCCACTTCATGATTTTGATTCCAGGTGCATACAGTCCCTTCCCTGTCCCCACTATCCAGTACCTTAAAAGCCCTGGTCCCTGAGAGGAGAGCAGTAACGAGGAGAGGCTAAAGATGGAGCTGACAGCTCCCTGAAGGTGAAAGGCTGGTTTTCAAGGTCAGTCCCCTTTGGATACTGCCTTTATAAGCAGGCCAGGGCAGGGGAGAGCATAAAGACAACCTCCCCCAACGCCCTGCACATCTTCTGTGAGTTTGCACTCGGGGAAAGTGTGTTGAAGAGCTTTTTAATTTTTATCATCAGAGCAGGACCCCAGAGGGGAGAGGAGGAATGTGGAATCAAACCCACTTAGCACATTCAAAAACTGTGCTTTTCCCAATGCCAAACCTCATCTCCTCTGCAAAATGAACTATTCTGTAAATATTCCTAGGGGCTGCTTTTTTTCCTTTTCTTTCTCCCTTTTTTTTTCTTTTGAAATTAATCACTCGCGCTACTGAAACTGAAAAAGCAAAGTCAAAGTTATAAGAGAATATAGTAATATAATATATGATGTATATAGAGGTGGCTGGGAGCTGGGGAAGAAATGGGAGGAGAGTCTAAAGAAGGGGTTAATTTTTCCTTCTCTTGGCAAGGAATAATGTTGTCCTACTGGGATCCAGTCCTCTCACCATAACTTTACAGTCATAATCTGTTGTTTTCCTTCATCAATTGGAAAATGTCCTGAAAATAATGCTAGAGAGAAGCACAGAGCATCTGGTGGGTGGGGATTAGCAGTAGGTGTCCTCATGGTCCACCGGTCTTGCAGGAGACCCACAGTGGGAACAGAGATCACATCCAAGCTCATCCCAGTCTCCTCCTAATTGGCACAGCCATTTCAGGGGCAGATGACTGAGCAGAGGGGCCGAGCTCACCCCCTTAGGCTCACTCCCCGAAGGCAGAGTTTAGGATGCAATCATCCATCCAGCATCTACCTTGCTGCCCTGGGGGCATCCAGGGGCACTGGTGTACAAGCTGTGATGGAGGAGCTTGTGGAGTGGTCCAGTGGTGCAGACAAGCCAAATCCTAGAGCTGCTTGGGTCTCTGGTAGTAGCAGGATGAAAGGAAAGACTTTACACCCTGTTACGGAGCAGAGACATTGTACTGACACAGCAACAGCTGCATAGTGATCACAGCGTGGCTGTGCGGGTCCATTTGTCCAGGGCGATGGCTCTAATCATGAATACACTTCTTAGCACTAGCCAAAGGGAAGGGGGTTAACCTGCGCCTCTCCCTCCAATTTTGCAAGAAGAAAATGCTTGCAAGTGTTGCACTAGGAGAGAGTGAGGCATCTCCCCCAGTGACAAACCAGCCCCCTTCTTGCCTTCCCTGGCAGCAGTGGGAACCACCGCTATGTCTTGAGCCGCTGTCCCCAGGGCTGGATCCCACCTGTGACAGTTGCGGGGGGTCACCCACCTCTCCTCCCTTTGAAACCAGTCCTGGCAAGATTCAGGAAAGGGACCTCTGTGCAATAACAGTCAGAATCAGGGCTTGGTCCCATTTGGTCCCATCAGCATGGATGGATGCAGGACGTGTGGATGCAGGTTATATCCTCATAATGGCCTTAAGGGGCTCGAGTCAGGAAAGGTCTTTTATACAGGTTGATCCAGGCACTTTCACACTTGTATTTTCTTGCCTCTAAAGAGAAAATGAGCTGCAGATCTCCCAGCAACACCGGCTTTTGATTCAAATACTATTCCAGTGCAATCAGCTTTCTCACCAACCCCTGCTAAACCTCTGGTGACACTTGCTATGGGAAGGAGGCGATGCACAGGTCACCTGCTCTGCCTCTTCCAGCAGCCTGGCTTGTTGCAACTTCTTTTCCCTGAGCAAGATCCCTCCTTGCCAGATACTGCTAGGGAAAGAAACACTACAGCGATGATAAATCTCACCTGTTTCTCTAGCTGGAAGGCGAATCAAGTAGGCGTGATCCAGTGGTGACAAACTTTGTGGGGGTAGTAGCAAGATGATGACTTAAGGATGGGATTTTTGAAAGCACTTTTCCCAAGGAAGTCAGGAGTAAATCAATGTGCACATTCTTTACATCCCTTCCAAACTGACAAGCACTTTGTGGTGGGGGAGGGAAGTGACCCTCCAGCGGGAAGGTCAGAGCCCCTCTGCTCCCCCCACCCTGGCTCCAGGCAGAGGAAAGTCTGTGGTCAGTGCCTTTGCTAAAACATGTCCTTTCATCCAAGAAGTATCTGCAGCTCAGCAGAAATAAGAGGAAACCAGTCACGTTGATCTGAGAAGGGCTTGTCCCTCTGTCTAGCTAAGCTCAGTAATAGCATGTGGCCTGGAGAAGCTGTGTTTGAAAACCAGGTTAACAAACAAAAAGTTAAAAGAACCCCCCAAAAAAAGCCAAATAAGTCCCAAGCTGTGGCACAGCAGGGGTTATTGCCACCCTCAGCCAGTTTTGTGAAGAGTTATCTTCTGGGGAAATTAAGGCAGGGTAACCTACCCCAAAAAAGGCCATAAGGCTGCCAGCCCCTGGCAGCGCACACCTCCAGGCAGGCTGCTGAGCCAAGGGGGAGCAGCCGCTTTGCAGGTGGGGAAAGGAGTGCGGAGGGCAGGAGCCAGGAGCACATCAGCCTGGGTCAGCTGAGATGGTCCTCTGCACCAGCTGCAGCTCAGTCCCTGCATTTCAGCTCTCCCTGCTGTTGCTGATCCCTTACCCTGCCTGTAAGCTACTTTATATTGACCCAGTTAGGTTTCACCATGCCCCGGAGGAATTCTTCCTTCGCTGACCAGATTAGTAGTGAGCAGAGCTGCTGCCAAGGGAAATGTAATTAAGCTCTATTTTCAAATGGCAGGTACCATTTGCAGGGAGCACAGCCAGCCTTATGAATGTTGCTGTGCGGAGCCGCACCAGAGACCAGTCTGCCTTTGAGAATAGGTGGCACTCCTGACTGAGCAATAGCAACGTGTAACTACTGTATATATCACCACCTGTAGCACTGAGAGACCGTTCCCCACTGCCTAACCCATCACATTTCCTATTTAGCCTGTTCTTTTTATACCACTCACCTTAGCACACTGCCAGCACAAACCCATAGAGATCACATTTACTTTTCCAAGTAATTTCTGAGCTTGTCTCTCTTGTTCTGTTGTGTTCCAGTTCAATAAAATACATTTATATATATATACATATATAAAAACATATATACATACACACACATGTATTTTCAGTGGGAAAAATCATATACAAATTTAGGATTCTTAAAGGAATACAATGTATATTGCAACTAATAATAAAGTTATGTTTTCTGAACGGAGCGTGTTTGAGGGCACCATTGGTGACTGCCATCCATCCAGAGAGCGAGGAGGGAAAGGCGGAGAGATAGTAAATTGTTGTTCAGCTTGTGGAGGAGGGGGCTGCAGCCCCTGGGCACTGCCGAATTGCCGGTGTGGCGGG